AGCATATACATTTGTATGTGTAAAGTTTCCTGCATTGTAATTCTTTATTTGCATCCGAGATCACCCCCGGTGTTGGGTTGTGTTCGTGTTACTCAGTCTTTAGTTTTCTATGTTGTGTTGATTGTCTTTTAGTCGTTTTTTGCCATGGTATTGTCGGTTCGTTTTCGACTTATGACTTTGGCTGTTCATTTGTTTGCTTCCTCCTCTATTTTGAACGATTTAAATAGTACTAAAACACGTTTTATGTCCACTAATAGCTATAACACTTATATTAATGTACCAATGTGCTTCAACTCAATCCCTTTTCTGAATTGACAATGCATATATTACTTTTATATAAACAGACGTGTTCAACCATGGTTTTATAAGAACTTTTAGCAATTTCTTATACAAGAAGTCAAATTTTTCATATCACAATACCTTTTCCCCGATTTAGAGGTCATATATAAACATATGTACAAAAAAGTTAAGAACACTTGAAACTTGAAAACGAATATACGATCCGTGAACATTTACCTTACATCTCCTATTTTTCATAACCGGCTTTTCCGCATTGCACATATTGTCATATAAGTGGGAGGTTTGGCTAGTAATAAAACCAGATTCAACCCACCATTTTTGTCTTAAAATGTCCTGTAACAAGTCAGGAATATGGCAGTTGTTATCACATAGTCCGTTTCTATGTATGTTGGCGTTTGTTTTTGTAGCAGTTCAGTGTTTCTGTTGTTCCGTTTTGATTCCTTTTATAGTTGATGTGTTTCCCTCAGTTTTGGTTTGTGACACGGATTTGTTTCAGTTAAATCGATTTATGACTATTGTACAGTGGTATACTACTATTGCCTTTATTTAATACAACAATAAAAGATTGCATAACGTTAACGTTTTTCTCTTCGTGTATATAATAAACGCATGATACAGTTTTCATTGAATAAAACACTAATTTCTGAAATAGCCTGACTAATGCTTGAGGTTTAAAGGTTGGGGAACCATGTACACTAAACTACAAGAATAAAATGCTTCAAACAGAACGTAAATGATCAGACATATCATCTTCGGTCAAATTTGTCACAGTGGTTTTAAAACAATTACATTTAATTTTTAAATCTGAAAAGTACCTAGTTTTAGAGTAATATTGACCTGTAGGTTGGTTTTTCGTAAACTGAAGTGGCATCGACCCAGTGAAGTTATATGAACAAAAAATACAGCTAAAGTATGATGTTTCAGTGTTAACAGCAGCGGTTCGAACAAAGTTTTTTATATTTATTCAATCAACACAAAATTTTCCACACTCCAAGTCAGAAAACAAAATGCACTTATTGTGTTTATGTATTATTCGTTGAACATTCTGTCTGTAGCGGATTTTATATAATCCTATCTTCCTTCGCACCCAGTCTCACATGCAATTTGCTTCAGGTTTTATTTGTTATCTTGATTTGTATCTTTTTAAAAGATGTATGATACTAGCAACATTGGTAAACCACTGCTGCCTGATTCAAATAGTATCAAAAAGTTAAATCACAAAAATACTGAACTCCGAGGAAAATTCAAAACGGAAAGTCCCTAATCAAATGGCAAAATCAAAAGCACAAAACCATCAAACGAACGGACAGCAACTGTCACATTACTGACTTGGTACAGGCATTTTCCCATGTAGAAAATGGTGGACCGAACCTGGTCTTATAGCGCTAAACCTCTCACTTGTATGACAGTCGCATCAAATTCCATTACATTGACAACGACGCGTGAACAAAAAGACCTTTCTGTGAAAACAAAAATACTTGTCATGAACCTTTCCCATCTGATTTTTTTTTTGAAATTGTAAGATAAATTATATATAATCTATGTCACAGTACATTGAAAAGATAAAAAGTACCATAATAATTTGTGAAAATATTGCAAACGTACCTTTTCGTAGCATTCGCCTCCAATATGTCAATTTTAGATCCTTTACCTAATGCCTGACTCTTGCTCATGTCGATATTTCCTGAACATTCACAACGTTTTATGAATATTATATCAAAATAAAGTAATATATACTATATGCTATCTGAGAATTATAAAACTTAATACATTTATTGGCATTCGGAACATGGATTATGAAATAAAAGTTCACACTTATTGACTTTATCATTTGGTATTATTTGCTGTAGCTTTTTAAGATAACAGAATAGGGTATTGATAAAGAAGCTGTACATATAAACAGCGCTATACACTTTATTCTATTGGAAAGCAAACACTATGATGACCCTAACACCTTTAAGCTTTTAAAGTAATCGATTTTAACATGTCGTATTGATTTATGAAAAAGAAAACTTTAAAAGACGTGTTTTTCACAAATACATACAAATTAGAAGCTATGGAAAATATTTATGCTATGAATTGAATTTTAATTTATACAAGGAACTACCGGTATTGCATCGATTTATCAAAACGTGAAAGGTCTATTGAAATAAATAACCAGAGATACAATATGTATTCCATGTTATTAGAATATTACAGAATCATAACGTGACATACGTGTAGTATAAATTTAAAAAAAAAACTACTTTTCAAATAAGGTTAATCTTACTTTTATTAAAATGTCGCTATAGTGTACATGAAAGTTTCGTACTCAAAACCACCAATACAACTCATTTCAGCGAGAGTTTATATTTAATCTAGAACGAATTGAAAAGAGATACAACGGAAATAAAACTGTTGTTCTATATGGAAATCTCTAGCTGAAGTAATTTGTAACTATTCAGAACTAGAATCTAAGTTTCATTTGTTTAATATCAATTTTCACTTTGTTTTTTGTTTCTTTTATGTTCGATGATCAAAATTGTGTTAAAGCAAAAGTTGCCACTACATTAGACAATATAGATTTCAAGTAGGTGTTGTTGTTTCTAGTTATTCTATTTAGGCTCATTTTGTTTTATCTCTCCGACGCATTTTTTTTTTTTTTTTTTTTTTTTTGTTTTTTATTCGCCCATTTACGGGACGTATTATTCTATACCGTTGTCCTTCCGTCCGTCCGTCTGTCCGTCCGTCCGTTCGTCGTCAACATATCGGACAATAACTCAAAAACGCTTAATCCAATTTGGATGAAACTTTGGTGAATTGTTTATATCTATTGACATGAGCTTCCTTTTGGTTTTTATGAATTTTAGATTTTGCGTTTCCGAGTTATGGGGTTTTATTCATTAAAAAAGGAGATTTTTCAGTTTTCGGACAATAATTCAAAAACACTTTTAACAATTTGCAAGAAACTTTGGTGAATTGTTTATATCTATTGATGTGCGCTCCCTTTCGATTTTTATGAATTTTAGAATTTACGTTTCCGATTTATGTTTTTTTTTTCTTATAAAGGGGGATTTTCCAGTTTTCGGACAATAACTCAAACTCTTTGAGCAGTTTTCATGAAACTTTGAGGAATTGTTTATATCAATTGACGTAAACTTCCTTTCGATTTTTATAAATTTTAGATTTTACGTTTCCCGAGTTATGGGATTTTATTCATAAAAAGGGGGTGATTTTCCAGTTTTCGGTCAATAACTCAAAATTAAAACTTAGGTGACTGGTTTATATCTGTTAAAACAACCTAAATTTAGTTTTTTATAAATTAAGGATATAACACTGAGGAGTTATTGACCTTTATTCTTTGAAAAAGCGACGGGCGTATCATGCGCTCTTGGCGCAGCTGTTTATTTTGTTGTTGCTTTTCTACACTTTTATTTCAAGCCCATCTGCATAATGAACGTACTTTCATGGACACTTGTTATACGCTTCTAGTAATATAACCACATGACCGCCCCCTCCTTCTCGTTCATTTGCAGACAAACATAAGTTTAAGTATCAGTGTCCCTTAAATCATGACTGTTGAAAGACCAAACAAATAAAGGAATCAAAGAGATATTTATCCTGTCAAAATATTTTCTTGAGTACAATTAATTACAGTATCACTCCTTCTTTTCGTCTGTAAAGAATATCAGTATTAAAGAATTAAAAACACTTAAGAAAAAAAAACATATCATTCGTTCGATCATCAACTGCAATCCAATTTTGTCGATAACTTGTTGCCAAGCAAATTTTTGGATTTACCCAACATTGACTCTTTCAATCAGCAATTTAAATTTTCCGACATTCATTCCAATCATCTCACTTTTCTAAACCAACCTTACTTGTTTATTGTTCAATCTTGTTCTTGTCTTGAATATGCATCAAATATATATCCATAGACGCTAACATAAAGCCATATCACAACAAGCAGGCAACATTCAGTTCAGTTTAAAGAATAAAGAGAGATAACTCGAATTCATTTTTAATATGTGTCTTGTACAACATCCAGAAATTACTTAAGTATCATTTCAACTAGATGAATAAGAATGGACTCTTCTTGAAATTTAGAAGAAAACATCGTAAAGAAAGTTTCGTAAACAGACATCTGATGAAAAGTCGAATAAAACGATGTCAAATGGACAGAAAGAATTATTCATGAATTGAAGTGAGTTTGTTTGTTATCACCTTTTTAAGAAGCATATCTTAAACTTTGAAAATATTCTACAACAACTGAATTGTTGAAGCAAAAGATTATAACAAAAAATTTGAAGTATACATTCTGTATAAATACCTGCATACATGGGGAAATATTTGATTTAAAGGGACATAAAAAGAATAGCCAAATTCATCCTAAGTCAATTTACCTGTGGGTGTGGAAACCTAATGTTCTTAATAACCTCTAAATTTATCAAAGAAGAATTTAAGATCATGTTATAAATCATGCATCTCAGTAATAAAGGACCGACTACTAAGCTGATGATACCACCGCGAACAAATACTCGTCCAGCAGTGGAAACGACCCAGTTCTAGTAACTGAAGATAACATTTTATAGATTTCGTTCGTCCGCAGCGCTTTTCTGGATGAACCTTCCTCATAAACACTCAAGCCAAATAATACCTCCTGGGACCACTAGTCAAATACCTCGATTTCGCCCAGATTGATTAATAAACAAAATGATTACCTTGATTCTCCCGGGAAATCAGATGTTCGGGTGAGCAAACTGCTTCCAGCTGCACTTAACTTTAATCTATTTCCAGATTTTCTATGCTTTGTAGAAATATAGACTCCAATCGGTTGCTTGTTTTGTGCAGACCATGTTACACTAGTTTGATCAATATCTAGTTCTGAATGGGTTGCAGGGGTGTTAGCTACCGCTCTGTATCCGGATGGCATGTTACGTATGTTATTATAGTTCCCTAATTGTGAAGATTTTCGCAATATTGGAACTGGTGTAGGTTCTGACTTTTCTTCCTGAGGTGTTTTATTTCTTGGAGCTTTTTCCATCTCATTTACGCGGCGATCTAATTCCACCATGTCTGTATCGGATAGTCCATCACATTCACCTGGATCGTCATAAATTCCTAAATCTTCTTCAAGCATTGGAATATTTATTTTAGTCACTAGTTTACCGCTACTATCAACTGTCATTTTTTTGTTTATTTCGTCTGACTTATCGTTATGTGGTTCTTCACCAACAGTCTTAGCATTATCGTCCACATTGTCAGTTTTATCAGTTTTCTCCTCTTGTTTGACATCCATTTCCTTGCTGACTTTCATTTCAGTTTATATATAGGTCTAGAAGTTTTAATCCAATAATTATCTTTCAATGTTTTTGAAATTTAATCATTTTCCCTCTCAAAGTAACTCCTGCCTATACTATATTGTTGATCTGTAAAAACAAAACCATCAACTGTAATATTTAACAATTATGTGTTTTGAAACAGGGATAAATGAAAATAACGCTTTATAAATTACGTGCGTCCGATGCGCTTTTATGCATTAACCTTCATCAGGAACGCTCAAACCAAAATACTGAAAGCCAGGGATGTTTAAATACGTAAAAACGTTTGGAACTATATTACCAAAAGGGACCTAACAGAATAGGCTATTCCCTTAGTAGAAATATACCAACTTCACCTGCATATGGGATATACATTTCCCAACTCATTCAGAATTCAAGAGCTTGCAGCTTTTATACTTTATAAACGTCACCAGTGTCTGAGCAGAAAGTTGATGAAGCATGCAGGGTTATGTCAAAGAACGTATCAACTTCACAAATAATAAATGATGATCTTGAGGTATGAATTCTAGGTAATGACGTTGTTTATCATCTTAATTACGTGTTATAGTGTTCTTTTATTTGTCTTTGTAAATTATTAACCTTAACTGTTAAGTCCATTTTTGGTTGTATCCTTTTGGGGTGGCTCGGTACTTATACATCCCGCCATTGTGTTATTGTGCCATTGTCATTTTTTTTTTTTTTTTCCTGTCTTTCATTCTTGCTTATGTGCTTTGTCTATATGCCATTTTGTTTTTCGTTGTTGACATATTTGTTTGTTTTTATAGTGATTAAGATAATAACACAATTTTGACTGCTGTATCCCTATTTTTGACATTTTTACCTATTATGTCTGTTTGTTTTGTTCACACATTGTTGTCAATATAATTGAGTTTTATGCGACTGTCATACAAGTAAGAGGTTTAGCTAGCTATGAAACCAGGTTATTTTACTTTTCAATTTAAGTTCAAGTTTGCCTGGTGGAAAGAAAATTAGTTTCCAATAAATTCTTAATTTGTCAACAGGGAATTTTCGGACAATATGTTATAAATCATGTCGGTATCGAACAATGACTACTTAACTGATGATACTCTCGGTAACGAACAGTTAAACAGCAGTTGTATCGACCAAGTGCTAGTAAATGGAAATAACTGTTTGTCAATTTCGTGCTTCATCGGGTACGCTCAAACCTAAAGGGATCTAGTGCATATCTTTAAATAATAACAACCTAAATACTAATCTCAAATACTTTTTTCAACACAGATTCTAGAGCAAAATCTGATACTATGAGGCACACGGAAAAACTGCATTTGGGAACGTTCAAAAAATATAATACTGATATTACGAAGAAGGGAGATGAAGTTATCTAAATGAACCATGGTCCCAATCCCTAAAAGAGAGGCGAAAGATACCAAAGGGACATTCAAAGTAAAAAATAAACTGACAACGCCATGGCTAAAAAAAAGAGACCAACAGACAAACAACAGTACACAAAACACAACATAGAAAACTAAAGACTGGGCAAAACGAACCCCACCAAAAACTGGGGGTGATCTCAGGTGCTCCGCAAGGTTAAGCAGATCCTTCTCCACATGTGGCACCCATCGTGTTGCTCATGTTATTACAAACCCGGTGATAAGTCTAATTCGGTAGGTCACACTTGGGAAAAGGGGGAACGAGTTTGTAGTTACGACAATTTGAACATATCCACAATCATCTGAAACGGATATTCTATAACGGTCAACCAAATCGTGATGGCGTCCGTAAAATTTACGAAGGGATGACTTCAACTTCACCACTTTGAACTATTGGTTTAATAGCTTCCTTGTGAGCAGCAACCCTCTATCAAGGAAATCATGATAGGAAATACAAGCCCTAGAATATCGTATCAACTGGGAGATATATACTCCGTATGCAGGCGCTGCTGGAATGTTGCTACATAGAAATGGAAAGTTCACAATAGGGAAGCCGAAATCATCCTTTTTGTCGTAAAGTTATGTTTTCAACCGACCCTCATTGTCAATTTATAGATGTAAGTCAAGATAAGAGGCAGACTTAACTGTATCTGTTGTATCCTTTATCTCAAGTTCAATGGGATAGATGCGTTCAACATAGTCACCAACTGTTGAGTTACTTATTGAGAGAACATCATCTATATAACGGAAAGTAAAGTTAAAGGATACTGTTAACTTCTTTTCTTTCTTCCTAAGAAGTTCCTGTATGAAGTCAGCTTCATATGAATAAAGGAACAAGTCGGCAAGAAGAGGTGCACAGTTGGTTCCCATAGGAATGCTGATTGTTTGTTGAAAAACACGTCCTCCAAACGTAACAAACCTAACCGTAGTCTTTTATTCAACGTCCAAAACCTTTACGCTACTGTACGGATAAGGAACCCATGCTTACCTGTCATTTACATTTCTAAGAATTTTTCCAGCTTTATTTACTGATGTTAACTAATATAAAGATATGTAACATTTGTTAATTCGTAGTACTCTATGATCCCAAGGGTGGATAAGTTAATATGGTCACCTAGGATTTTTCACTAAATCACTAAAACACATGGTACCTCATTTGACTAAGCGGGATTTATAAACATTTAGATTCGTAAGTGCATAATTGGGAAGTTATATCGGATGCCACGAACAGTGAATTTAAAGTGTCATATTTTCTCTGCACGCTAAATAAACACCTCTTTGTGATCTGTATCTGGTCTGTAGCAAGATATTTACCGTGAACTTATCAAAAATAATCTTTTTCCAGTAGCAATTTCGAATTTCTCGCCCATCATCCCAGTCAGTCGACCTTCACCATAGCATTTATTGTTATTCTCATACTTATGAAGCATGATAGTTTCCACTGTGCACTAAACAAACAAGCTATCAATCAATATACAACAGTCTATGTATTTATTGACTTTATTGTACGTCCATCCGATATCCCTTAGTATCGGTCTATATATATAAAAAATACCATATAACGTATTAAAATAATTTGAAATAAACACCCATTATACAGGGAATTCCTATATATTTTAAAACTTATAAGGAAGGATTAATAAAGTCCATGCAAAAGTCATTAAATTTGTTTTTGTTAATCTTAACTTTTGATAAATTCGAATTTGTTGTGCTATGGTTATTTTCAAGTAACTAAACAACCCTAAGACACGTCAATTATTTAAGTGATTTACCATCTAGGCTAGCTTTATCTCCGTATTTACATATTGTGTCGCTAAAATCCTCTCAAATCCTAACAAAATCATCATATTCATTATATATATTACTTACTCTTCATGTAAAGTTCTGTTTATTTTAAAGATTTAAAGTTCAATTACTTGCTTAATATTTATTTTAGTTCTAAATGTTTGTAGGTATATGGTCTTCTTAGTTACTCTAAATGATTTATTTTACTATGATCGTTCGAATTACATAAAATTTAACGGAAAATGTATTAAGAATAATACGTACAATACACAAGGCCTATCGAGTAATTAAATCTGCATTTTAATTAAGGATCATTGAACTTAAATCATCAATTTAAATTTTAACTGATATTCACGACCGTTAATCAAGGTGACATGTTCATAAATTTTAAATACACTGTTTGATAAAATTAAAATTCCGTTGATTCATAGGTCAAATGGAATAAAATGGGCTATGAAGGGCAAATGAATTAGCAAGAAGAAACCCTCGTTTGATAAAAATCAAAACATGATGTAAAGTCATAGACATAATGTCATTGGAACATTTTGTTTCTTGTACAGTGAATTATAACAACACATTTAAATGGTTGCAAAATAACCACCACTCCCTCTCAAAATGTACGCACAATATTGACAAAAAATGATAAAAAATTCCTTGAGAGTCACTTAAATTTTAGTCGAAAATTGTCTGTATTAAAATTGAAAGATTTACTGATTGATTATTGTTTGCTAATATTGTCAAATATTTCATGCAATTTCCGTGCGATAGCAAAATATACAATGCATTCAATAGGACTTTAATACTGCCACTAGAACAAAGAGTATTTTGGATAGGGAAAGAAGATTTGCCTTGCAACATGCCACCTACGGACGCTCCAAGAAGTGTTGCAAAGGTTTATTCACGTGCAGAGAGCGTGACACACTACCTTCAATAAGTATTGAACGTACGGTCTGTATTCCGAACGGACGTGACTGCGTATTTATATATCCTTCATATTTAATGTGCATAAGATTGATGGATTGATGTTTGTTTAACGTCTAGTTACAAATATTTCATGTATATTCAGGACGATTTTTCATTGAATACAATGGAATAGTCATAACATTTTGTACTGATGTTTTGGTTTGACATTCATTGCAAGTAAATCGACGCCAATCAGAATTTCAACCTTACATTAAGATTGAGGAGTTGCATCAAATTACACGATAGCCATGCATTTTTTGCGGTGATAGTAGAATATGCGCTATTTGACAATTCCTGGAAAAAAACTATAGAGTAAGAGTATGTTGCTAGAAATCAGGAATTAAATCTCAACAATCGATCCAAAGCTCAAAGTGATTACAATTACACACTAAAATAAATCATCTACAATTTCATGGTCTGAAAATTAAGAAAATTGATATAATTTCGAATTGATTAACACTTACGTTAAATTGTGAAAAAGATTGTGGTAATGGTAATGTGTTCCCTCCGCTTATTATGGGTAGTTCTTCTTGAGTGGTTTTAATAGGTGATTTACAAATTGGTATCAAAATGCCTATAATTTCGAGATAACGATATCTATTGGCCGAATAGTTTGAAGGGTTACTTGGTCTTAAGAATACCAGAAATTTGCACAGCTTGACTTTGTATAGGCAATTTGATGGTAAAAGATAAATTGGTAAACCTGCTCACCTTTATTTCGACAATGGGTTTGTTTCCATTAACAAAGGGTTAAGTCTCACACCTATAGTATATCTAATGTACAATATATATTGAAATCAATTATCAGATGTAATATTATTTTGAATTTGAAAACATGCCATAAATTTATTTTACCATTTACAAAATTCAAGGTTTTTCTAATTTAAATCATTTTATTTTTCAACTTTATATTAATTGCTCTCAGAAATTTTAATAAAGCTGATATTTACAATTGATATCAAATCCACTTTAATATTTGGGTAAATATTTGAAGTGCTACCGATGTCAAGATCTATTTCAATTCGGCACGACCGATTCATTCGAACACCACTTGACATAATCCCTCAACGTTTGATATTGACACTACTCGTACAATCTGACGATAAATTAACTTATCTAGCTATTTTTTTTCAACACCCATAATAATAAACTCGCTACGAATGTAGTTTAAGATGCTAGTTATTACTTAATGCAGCCAAAATGTGTTTTTATGCGGGGGTCTTTTATTTCATGGATTTGTTCATGCTGACGTATGTTGACTAAGTTTCTTACATCCACGTCCTTTATTTGCCCTTTAATGGCCAGTTGTCTCATTGGCAATTATACCACATCTCCTTATTTTCACTAGAATATACATACTAAAGAAAAAACGTGCTTCTTTTTCACTTCATGAATATATTTTTTTAATGTGGACTTAAAAGTAGCTTTACTATGCTTACCTATAATTTCTCATAAGAATGTTTGTTATCAAAGAACAAAGAATATTGAGAGTAGTGTTAGATCGAAACAAATGAGGAATACAATCATAAAGAAGACAGAACACCTATCTTGTTTGATTTTCTTTAAAATGAAAATACTGTTTCCATGAAAAAAAAACACACAAAATGATAAACAGCAATATACGAGCCTTTCCTGTTTGAATTGGTTATTTTTCGGTACATCTTTGGATTGATTGATTGTTGTTTGTTTAACGTCCCGTGGCAAATATTTCATGGATGTTCAGGACGATGCTTCTTTGGAATCATTAAACGTTTACCCCAGTGACAATACGAAAAGTAATTGGAGAGAAAATAACGATCTGCTTGATTTTTATCAGATTGATTTTGCTCAGATAATATTTCTGCTAAAACACACTGACATATTTCGGTAAAAAAAAGATTACGATTTAATGAAAAAACTATAAAATGTTAACTTAGACTGAAATAATGTCAATTCATAGACATTTAAATAACAACCGTCTGAAAAATTTTAAACAGAATAAATAAAACTTAATTGTATTCTATATGTTCCTTATAATTTACTCAATCGTAAAATTTAACGTGTATGAGGTGTGTCGTGTATCTGTTTAAGGTTTTATCTTTTATCTGATGATGTATTCCCAACAAAGCCATTTTATAGTCTCCATTTATGCATTACACATCGTATCAATAAAATGTATTATGTATATTCAAAAAAGTTAACCAATAAAGTCATACAACAAGAAAACTAAAAAATGAAAACAACACGTTATAAATTTCATGCGTCCGAAGCGCTTTTCTGGATTTACCTTCAACAGGAACGCTCAAAGTCGAATATTTGAAAGCCAAAGATGAAAATAAAACCGAAACAGTTGAAGAGCTATATAACTAAAAAGGACCTAAAAATAGCCAAATCCATCAAAGGCCAACTTTGCCGGAGAGAGTTGGAACCTTAGTTTCTGTATAATTTCAAAATTTATAAACGGACAATTTAAGAATGGTTTGTTGTAACTCATGTCAGTACCGAAGTTCTCACTACTCAGCTGATGAGACCTTCGGGACTGATAGTCCACCAGCACACGTATCGACCCAGTGATGTAAAAAATATAAACAACACGTTATAAATTTCATGCGTCCGAAATTGAGCGTTTAAAAATTATTTTTTGTGTATTTTGAGAGCATTTTTGTGGTTGTCCCTGGCTTCTCAAATTTGGATTTGAGCGAACCTGAAAAAAGTAAATCCAGAAACGCGCTCCACACGCACCAACATTTATAAAGTGTCATTTATATTTTCTAGCATTAGGACGATACAAAATGCATGCAGGTATTTATATATATATATATCGGTGTTACTTTTATGGTCTAAAGTTATACTCTTTGCCAATAGGAAGTACTTTGCCTCTCAAGCTATTTTTTTCATGTTTTCAGGTGTACATAAAAAATGAAAATAATACTTTATTAACTTTATGCATCAGAAGCTCTTTTTTGGATTTACTTTCATTGGAAACGCTCAAATCCGAATGTTTGAAAACCAAGGATGAAAAAGAACCCAAACAGGTGAAGAGCAATGTGACCCACAAGGACCTAAAGTACTTAGCAATAGCCATATGTAAAAATAAAAGCCATCTGCCATCTACGTCTGTAGACATGGTATGATTGCTCACAGATTCTTTGCCTTGGTTGAACAAAATGACCTTATTATACAAAGAACGTTTTTATTTGAACTCTGGTGGATAGGTGTCTCATTGGCAGTCATACCACATCTTCTTATTTTCATAAAGAATTTAAATGTTTGATATGACAATACGTTTATTGAAAAAGGTATGAAATAGACTTTTTTAGGGTACCTTTTACTTTCGGTTTAGCAGATAGCATTGACGTGTATCTATTTTTTTTTTCATTTCTTACATGTTATACTTTAAGACAAATTCATACAATTTATAACAAATATGGTAACGTGTTCAATGTATTTTTCAATTTTAAATAATTTTGACTTACCATTTATTTCATCGATAGATCAATGGATCAACAGTCGATTCCATTAAACATTTTGGAGATAACTAAATTAAATCCATACTTATCAACATACTTACCATACATCAAAGAAGTTCATACAAATATACTAAAACTCCATAGTAAATAAAACCCAGATACATAGCAGAGTCAATATAACGAATGACTTAAAAGTCAACTCTGAATAAAGTATTTTACATTTTTGTTTTGTGTCGTCAGAACATGGACATTTAAATAAATCAGGTTATTTTGAAATGATTACGGGATAATGGAGATATCTACCTTATATGTTTTTCTTTTGAATTACATAAGGTTAAATTCACCAGGCATAGTAATGTATCACCTGCAACGTGAATATTCAAGAATTGATACTATGAGGAATTAATTTAAAAAAACAGAAAATAACAGATACAGTGTTATATTTAAAATTTCAACTACATTGGCAAAACAAATACAAAAAATAATTTACAGTTAACTGAAGGAAAACTGATAAAAATCTCTCATTTCTCACATGGTGCACATATTTCCTGATCTAGTGGTAAATGGTATGTTAACCCAGGTTTTACCACTATGTGGAACAAGGTGATGCTATAATCGTATCTGTTGAATCCTTTAACAGCTTTTCGAGACTATAAACTGTTTTGAATTATGTGGTTGTTTTTAAAATGTTCATTTCATATGGTGACAGAATAGCAGTTACAATTTATCATTGTTTTTCATTATGAATGATTTTATCAAAGTTCCCTTGTATTCATATACTTATAGATATTATTAAAAAAATAATTGGGATATACATATATATATCCGTTTAAAAAAAAATCCAGTTTCCTTTAAAGGGAAATTATCTACAATTTTGTAAAAAGCACAAATTTTTGTTTAAAACATTTATAAAAACAGATAATTCAAATAATTTGTGTGTTTACAGTCAGTTTGGTTAAATTTTGTCAAAAAAAGAAAAAAAACAAAACATCGCTGATGTATTATTGGCTTGCATTTTGTTATCAGTAAATTAGAATCAAACTAAATAGTTTTGTTATACACATATGCACTTTGACGGTACTACAATCTGTCGATACCTTTATTTTGGCATTGCACAAGGTCATGTTTTTCTCTGACTGTTATTGACGTCTTTACACTAAATCCATTGGATGTTGAATGTGTATACTGATTGATATTTTAGTCTTGGATACATGATTTTTTTATTAGTTGTTATTGGCTTTGAACTAGCTATCAGTAACTGCGAGTACTCTCAGATCTGTACTTAGTGTCCTTTTGGTGGTAGGGATGAGGGATGGATAAATACCCTACCTCGTCCGATCTGTGTTTTTTGTTTGATGTTTTCTGCTTTGCATCGATCTGATCAGTTAAGCCTTTTTCAACTAATTTTTATAGTTAGTTATATGTTGTGCTGTTACACCTCTGTCCCAGGTTAGGGGGATGGTTGAGCGCTCATAAACATGTTTAACCCTGCCATATGCTTTATGTGCCTGTCCCAATTCAGGAGCCTGTAGTTCAGTGGTTGTCGTTGGTTCATGTCTGTCATGTTTGTTATTCGGAAATTATTTTATTATAAATTAGGCCGTTATTTTTCTTAATTGAATTATTTCATATTTTTCATGTCGGGGCCTTTTATAGCCGACTATACGGTACGGGTTTTTCTCATTGTTGAAGCCCGTACGGTTGCCTATAATTGCTGACATCCACTTCATTTGAACTTTGGTTAATAGTTGTCTCATTGGCAATCATACCACATCTCCTTATTTTTATATTGCAAGTCAATAATTCAACATCATTTGAATCCGTATTCATGTCACCTCTTATTTTGATTCTTATCTGGAACTATTGTTTTGCATGTGCTAAGCCTGTTCAGTTATTAAAAAAGAAAAGAAAGTCATCATTGAAAAATGAAAAAGGGGTGACAACTGTAATAATCATTCTGTTGGATGATTTGGCCCACAAAAAATCGATTGTACGTGCTTGTCTGTCTTTTTATATTTTTGTTTAAGTTAATATCGGGTGATTCGACCGTTGGTCGTTTTCGGAGGTAATATTGATGGTTAATGATATCCTGGATATAGCGCCTAGTCTAATATATGCACGGAGTACTGATACATTATAACGAGTCCATGCATGTAAATTCAGAAATTATTGCGAGGTTTTTATCATTGCGAATAATGCGACTTAGTGAGTATCGCAATTATAAGAACTCGCATTCTGATATCTGCAGATTCTCATGAAATCGCAATAATTAAATTCGCATTTTTGTTCATTCTCCAAAAATCACAACAATAAATGCATGCAATAGTTTCTGAATTTACATTTGCTTTGGAGTTGCTTGTCTTTATGTCAGTTTTTTTTTCTTTTTGACCTTAGTATTGACTGTTTTATTGATCTTATTATGCCTTATGATTGCTCCATTGGTATCTTATTTCTCTTTTTTTCATATAGTCTATTTTCCCTTCTCTACTTTTCCATGCACCATCCTAATATCTATTATGCTAATTGCTGGTTTGTGATTCTGTACTTACAGAGCGTATATATATATATATATATATATATATCTACAAAGGTATTTAAGCGCGTTTTTACTGAAGAAAATGGCCAATCTGTGTTAGTAAAAAACCGGTCTGTCCAAATCTATGTATAGTCAATAAAACCGAAAGATAAGCCGAGTTTAACATGCAGCTGCAGTCAATATCATCGAAGAAATCGCCGAAAATAGTCTTTTAAAAAGCATGTGTCTACCCAATGTAAACAATGGCCACCCTTTTCTCTATCTAACTTATTCTTTCAGCTTATGTTCGAAAGTAACAAGCCCGGTTCTTTACATGATTTTATATGCATTTTAAAGCTGATTAAAATTCATGATTAATTATATGTACGGCGGGAATGTCTTGTTATGCAGCAGAGTGGTAAGAAAAGAAATTTTAATAAAGGCCGTATAATGTTGCCAAGTCCTGTTTACACTTGAAAAAATTTCTGAGTTTTGCCACAAGACTTAATGGCAACCTGGTGCAATGTTTGTGACATAATGCAGCTAATATAGTAACCAAAATCAATTACTAGTACAATGCACCATTAAAAATCTGAGCGTTTGCAATTAGCATGCATTCCAATAAGGTTTAATATATTTAGAGTTGCAGATGAACAGAAATGTGAATATTGAACACTCAGAATCAAGAATTACCTTTGGTGTCTATATAAAAGTAAGAAGATGTGGTATGATTGCCAATGAGACAACTCTCAACGAGAGACCAAATGACATTGAAATTAACAACTATAGGTCACCGTACGGACTTCAACAATGAGTTAAACCCATACCGTATAGTCAGCAATATAAAAGGCCCCAAAATGACAAATGTAAAACAATTCAAACGAGAACACTAACGGCCTGATTTATGTACAAAATAATGACCGAAAACCAAATATGATAAACAGCAACAAACGACAACCACTGAATTACAGGCTCCTGACTTGGGTCAGGCACATACAGAATATGGCAAGGTTAAACTAGTTTGTTGGCACCAAACCCTCCCCCTAACCTAGGACAGTGGTGTAACGGTACCACATAAGAACAAACTATGCAAAACAATAATATGTCTATCACCTAATTCAAACGAAATGATATATTTCAACGACTGGTGCATCAAATAATATATATATTGAAACTTTTGTTTAATTTGGGAATGTGAATTAAGGAAACAAATAGAATTGTCATTTCACATATGGTTAACTTGAACATTTGTAGACAGCATACCTCGTTTGGTTCAGATTGGCCAGAACAACACATATAATTTTCCCAAATGTGGCATAATAGCACAGCGTTTGTCATCCAATCAACTGATTATTACGGAGGCTCTATCAAAATCCCTTATCATTTTAACACGCTTATCATTTCTATAATGATTGAAACAGTTTAAAGTTTCAGAGAAGAAAATGTGAAGCAGATTATATTATTATTTCAGAGAAAGGGACAATACAATGATATGCCACTTGGTTTAATGAGAACTTTTGTGGTATAAATTCCGCCATATTTCTACAAAATCATCACAAAACGAGGTTTTTGATTGTGTCTCCAAATAAATAAACCAATAAAATATCAAAATATAAAGAATTTCAAGAGTGAAAGGACGTAATCAATTTATCAGAAAACAAATTTTAGAATTTGGTTTGATGTTTTGTTCTTGTCTTAAAGGCGGTTTTTTTTTTAATATATTCGCCTTCATGTGAGTTCTTAAACGTTGCATGGCAAGGGTGCACAATTTGTCCACTTGGGAATAGTAATTTTTACCCAGGTTTAGTTTTCCACAAAACTAACTATTGAAAAACGTTTTGCTTTCAATGTTTTGGTAAAATGCTTGTTTATTACTTTGAAAGTGACAAAATTTTTGCGTTGTATGCTTATTTTGGCGTTAATATTGATTCACTTATAGGGTCTTTGCATCGGCACTAAACACATTTATTTAAAAACCAGTTGTTGGCATGACACGGGTTATGTTCTTCTCATATATGTTATGATGGTATGATACTAAACCCCTAACGGGAAGGATTGTGCCTGATATTCATATGATGAAGACATAATCTTTCAATCAGTTTAATTGAAGTCTGGAGCTGGCATGTCAGTTAACTGCTAGTAGTCTGTTGCTTTTTATGTATTATTGTCATTTTGTTTATTTTCTTTGGTTACATCTTCTGACATCAGACTCGGACTTCTCTTGAACTGAATTTTAATGTGCGTATTGTTATGCGTTTACTTTTCTACATTGGCTAGAGGTATAGGGGGAGGGTTGAGATCTCATAAACATGTTTAACCCCGCCGCATTTTTGCGCCTGTCCCAAGTCAGGAGCCTCTAGCCTTTGTTAGTCTTGTATTATTTTAAATTTTAGTTTCTTGTGTACAAATTGGAGTTTAATATGGCGTTCATTATCACTGAACTAGTATATATATTTGTTTAGGGGCCAGCTGAAGGACGCCTCCGGGTGCGGGAATTTCTCGCTGCATTGAAGACCTGTTGGTGACCTTCTGCTGTTGTCTGTTCTATGGTCGGGTTGTTGTCTCTTTGACACATTCCCCATTTCCATTCTCAATGTTATTGTTAAGACAAATATTAATTATTAACGGCTGGTTTATATTCTATATTAAGATGATTAATAATTATCTGTTCTAACCTTGAA